TACAATGGTGGAAGCTTGATTAGGATTCAGGAAGGTCATTTTGTGATTTGATCAAATTGATTGCCTTTTTGTCTAAATTCCTAAAATGGCAGTCTGTAAATCATTTATTTCTCGCAGGTGAGCACAGCCTCATATCAGAATCATACATACTAGGTTACATGTACAGGTCATATTTTTTTCAAATTCAAACAAAAACTGGCAATCATATGATTTTTTGTTTAATGGTGTACATGCAAGTTTCTATGTCTGTATGTGCGATTATAAACCACCACATGAAATTTGTACTAAACACTGAGATCAACTACTGATAAAAATGGGTAGACTGGTAAAATAGAGGAACTGTGCATTGCTAGCTTGTTGTTAAAATGATGGTCACTCCTTAATTCAGGAAATACTGACCTACCTAAGCTATTGTATGGAAAGTTCTCTTTCATAATGAATTGCATTTATGCTCAGTAGTGTAAAATTGAAATTTAGCTTGAACTGCTTTTACACATGGTAGTTAGGTGTGTGTGGTATTTTTAGCCAAACATATAGCTGACTGCTGCAGCAAACAAGGGGCTTGACAGATAATTACTTCCATTCAAGTGTTAGATGATGATGTAAATATAAAATTGTCAAGGGTGTGTTGCCATGGTAAGGTTATATAACATGTATGCATCACCGGTAATTACCTAGACGTAGTTGTACTTTGTACAATATTATTATCAGAGGATTATTGTGGAAGTTGTCTACAAATAGATAAATTGAATTGGAACGTGACTGAACATTATAGTCAATCTTTCTTTATTACAGAAAGGAGATGGCCATTCAAGTCGTGATTTTAAAACTGTCAAAACTAAAGAACAGATTGGTGAATCACTGAATTACTTTGTGGAAGGCGATCAAATTGTTATTGCTAAATATATCAGAAGGTTAAAAGCAATCCGAGCTACACTTGAAGCATCACCATTTTTTTCTTCACATGAGGTTTGTATCTTCAGTTGTTTTTGTTTTAGAATATGCAGCAGATCATTCAAACTGTTGTACTGGGAATGAAAGTTTCTCTCCTAGCCTCAAAAAGAAAGTTTGTTTACGAAAGGTAAAGATCCCTTTTGTTCATGTTTCAAATCATCATCACATACATTTCTTGTCTGGGTTTGCCTGTTTAAATATGATTTATTTATTCATTCATTCAATTTTAATTCAATAAGAGTCTTGTAGCCAAATAATAAAAAAAGGTCTTTGTTATAAATATATCTCTTACATGCTCTGCTCAATCATGTTCAAACTTTTTATACATACGGGTATATTATTTCACACATATGTATATTCATTCATTTGATAACTTTCATTTTAGTTTAGTTTAGTCAGTTTAATTTGGTCAGATCATTGTTACACTCAAAATAATCTGCCAGCAAATTAAAATTTTCTGAATAAAATATCAAAAATAATTATAACTTAAAATAAATTAAAAAAACAAAGACCAAAAAAAATACATGGATTGAAAGCGTTTTCACATTTGAAAAATTTTATTGTGGAATTGTGAAAACTCTATTTCTAATTATATTGTGTTGTATTGTGTTGACAGTGTTTGATTGATATCCACTCAACTCTTTTGTTCAGGTGATTGGTAGCTCATTACTTTTTGTCCATGACAAGAATGGCAAAGCTAGTGTTTGGATGATTGACTTTGGTAAGACAGTACCATTACCTGAAGGAGATTCTAATGATCATCGAACACCCTGGATAGAAGGCAATCGTGAAGATGGATATCTATTTGGTTTAGACAATTTAATAGACATATGGTCATGCATGGTGAAATCGTAACATTAGATGTATTACTTTCTATTCCATATCAGTGTTGTCAGTTGAGTACCGCTCTGTTAAAACTGATTAGGAAATGCAGATATTGAAAGGTAAACTTGTACTATGCCAGGGAAAAGGTACTGAAATGAAATTTTTGGAAAACAATTAAAATTCAGCAAATAAGAAACATAATTTTTTGTTCTGTTGCCTTGTTTGCAACTTTAGAGAAAAATATTCGTTGATATATTATTCAAATAAAACAATCTCTGAATTGATGAATCTATACTGTCTAGGACAAGACTTAGTTTATATACTTTGGTATTACTTTGGGTATTACTTTTAACAGTTTAGATTCAAGACATTAGTCATACTGAGCTACTTTTACCTCGGCTTAAGACACATTTACACATTATCATTGATTTGAAACAAATATATTCTTATGCAATCACGTTTTGAAAAGAATGACAGTTATTATGTACAAATTTGATTCAAGCTTTGAATTCTCGATATCAGTGACTTAAAACGTTTTTTATTTGTTTATAAAACATTTGTATACCTTGTTTTCTATTCTGTAGAATAATTTAGATTGTTTCCCTGAAACATACTGTAATTTGATGATATTTTATATTGCTGCAGTTCACTGAACCATTAAACAAAACGCCAACGTAGTTCGGATGTAACAATTAGGCAATCCTACGTCATGTAATTCACCCACTCATAAGTAGAGTAAAAATAGCCACTGGTTATTCAAGTCATCCCCACATGGAAAAGTAGTGATAATGAATTCAATTTTACATTATGTTTGACTTTTCTAAAAGGTCTTCTAAATCAATATTATTAAATTGAGCAGACATGCATTTCTGGCATGCAGTCCCTAAAAAGGTTATTTATAAAAACTTCTGTCAATGAAAATTACTTGTACACGTACTTCCTTATATTCCTTCAAAAGAAGACATTATGATACTCAAGCTACCATGGTTGCTGCACAATAAATGGAATTATGAAAATAACCAAAACAAAACATCATGTTTTTCCCTCCAGGCAGTCTTAATCTCAAGTGCAATATTACCAGTTCTACAAGTTGTTCAGAGGCCCACAATTTAACAATCCATTTTTTGCATGATGATTCATGAAAGTTGATGCAATATGATGGATTATTCTGAAGATTCCCATCCACACAAAAGCATCTGAACACTAGTGATCAGACCAAACAAACAATATCACACTACACTCAATGTTGGAATATGCGTTTTAATTGTCTTTCCTTAATTAACTGATTCTAGTACAGTTATAATAATCTTTAAAAGTATATATTGCCCTCCAGTGTTTTAATTAAAATTTGTAAGTTAAATATCAAATTATGTGATATAGTAATTTAACTGATTTGATTTATTTTATATTAACCATTTAGTGTGGTTGCTGCAACTCTTACAGGGTTGGATTTTGGTTAGCTATTATGAGACTACTTTTCACAGCCATTTTAAAACTTAGTTAAATCCTGTTTTTATTTTTAGGGGATTTTATTGTATAATTGGATAAAAATAATTTTATTCTAACTGTAAATGAGTAAGTGCGTCAGTAAAAGTCAAGATCACATGAAGTAATGCAGCAATGTAACAATGTGACTTTATAAAGTATTTCTGAATTATTAAAAACAGTTTCATTTGAACAGGAGTTTCAGAAAGATGTTCTGTGTTTTTATGGTTTCAAAGACAATTGACATACAATGTAAACTTGATGTAGTAAATTACAAAAAGTTAAGTATTTATAATCAGGATAAATCTATAAATTGATCATAATACATAATATTGTGATATGATGAGCACATTGTGTTCTTTATTGTATGTAACATTGGTATGAGTTTTATATCGTTAGAATATTGCTTTGTTCTTTACATACCGTAACACATGTTCTTTACATACCGTAACACATGTTCTTTACATACCGTAACACATGTTCTTTACATACCGTAACACATGTTCTTTACATACCGTAACACATGTTCTTTACATACCGTACACATGTTCTTTACATACCGTAACACATGTTCTTTACATACCGTAACACATGTTCTTTGTATTTTTATATCATTAGAATATTGCTTTGTTCTTTACATACCGTAACACATGTTCTTTGTATTTTTGAGCATTGCTATGTTCTATAATTTAGGATCACTGCTATGTTTATGTCTTTGGAAGTTTATTATATGCTAGGTTACGGTTCTTACCTTTGGAACATTATTGAATGCTACATACTTTTGGAACTGTGTTATGTGTTTCATACCTTTAAGACATTTTTATATGTTATATACCTTTGAAACATTTTTGTAAGATACATACGTTTAGAACATTCTTGTATGCTACATACTTTTTGAACATTTTTATGTGCTATAAACCTTTGGAATATGTTTGTATGCTACATACAACATTCTTGTATGCTACATACTTTTTGAACATTTTTATGTGCTATAAACCTTTGGAATATGTTTGTATGCTACATACAACATTCTTGTATGGTACATACCTTTGAAACATTCTTGTATGCTACATACTTTTTGAACATTTGTATGTGCTATATACCTGTGGAATATGTTTGTATGCTACATACAACATTCTTGTATGGTACATACCTTTGAAACATTCTTGTATGCTACATACTTTTTGAACATTTTTATGTGTTATATACCTTTGGAATATGTTTGTATGCTACATACAACATTTTTGTATGGTACATACCTTTGAAACATTCTTGTATGCTACATACTTTTTGAACATTTTTATGTGCTATATACCTTTGGAATATGTTTGTATGCTACATACCTTTGAAACATTCTTGTATGATACATTCCTTTTATACGTTCTTGTGTGGTACATATCTTTGGAATTTGTGTTATGCTACTTACCTTTAGAACTTTGTGATATGTTACATACCTTTGAAAAATTGTTGTATGCTACAAAACTTTTGAAATCTTATTTGTGAAATATGGATTGGTTTTCACTATACATGTATGACCATTAATGAAATTACATAATTGCCAACTCATTGCCTGAACAATACTCTCATATCACAGCTTCTGTACATTGTAAATATTTATAAATTTTGAAATGAAAAAGATTCCGATTTTTCCACAGTAGTTAGTTTTCTATACTATTCACTACTAAAATCTGAAAGTAATAAAACTTGATAATGAAACTAAATGTTCTTTGCGTTCATTTTATTTAAGTGTGATCAACAATTGGAAATATTCAACATGCCACCATGTCGACTTCAATATGGTATACGACATTTGAAAATGACATTGTGTTTGTTTACACGAGTGGTTGGCTTTCTGCTATTGCCAAGTTCATGATGGCTGTTTTATGTAAATGTTACCATTTTCATAGTAATTCAGCTAAACAGAATCTTTTTGATTCAATGAAGGAACAAACTGGTCAGCCCGCCGACTGATAGAAATTACTCCAATACTCTGAAATATCACTCAAAACGTTGTGAACTCTTGTGTTCATGACATTTATAGGAGAGATCTCTTTGAGGTTACCATGGAAATGAGAATGTTAACCATTGCCAGATAAAGTTATTGTAGATCAAAGTGCTTTGTAGCTGTGGTAGTAATCTGCACTCGGAGTGCCTTCTGGTAATCAACATCTGATAATAAATGTTGTATATTGTGCAGGAGACTTAGAAAATGATTTAAATTTTACTCCTCCACTGAAAATTAATGTGTAGAATATTGTGACAAAAGATGAGGTTTAGAAATTCACAGCCCACGTTGGAGCTAAAAGACAAACTTATTGAATGCTAGCGCAACCAATAGACGTTACCCAATGAAATAGAAAAACTCTAGGGGGCGCTCACATAGATAAAGTTTGATGGGACTTGTCTGATGTCATCTCCGGCATCAACTATTTCTTGTGGTTACAATAACTCATACAGGTTTTTATTCCATCTTTTTCAAACATGGATACTTGATTTTCCAGTGTGGCATCTCGGTTCGATTTTGGTACGTTTTATAATTGTCTTTCTCTTGTGGTTACAATATAACGTAAACAAACTTGGAAATATTATCAATCACTAAATTATCAACCAAATTTCATTTGTGGTGTAACTAGCATGTATAACTGTCTAGATAACTATTTATTTAATATTTAGATTCGCAACGGGCAAGGTTGTAATAATTACACTGTTTATCAACAAACAGCGGAACTTCCACAATGTAAGTACTTATTTAAAAACTCAACAAGCTTCACATATAAGTTGCGTGTTGGGCGCCCTCTATGGTGAAACTTGACTGGAAATCTGAATTCGTGTTTAATATTTGGAATACGACTTTGACACGTTTATAATTAAAACTGCCTACCTATATCCGATTACTGTCACAAATGGATTAAGGAGAAATCTGAGTATTCAAAGTAGTAAAAAGCGATTATATATATATTATCTCGTACTCATTAATTGGTAATATTTTGGGTTAATTCAAGAGAATGTGTATTTGTTAATAACGTAGCCGGGAATAGCAGTGGGTGTCAGAGACAAAATTCTAATGATAAATTTTAATATGTTTAGTTTGAAAGTGTCGTCGTTGTCATTTGTATCGAAGTAATGGCAGGCAGTCCAGTGTGAATGGTCTATTCTACCTATCTATACTACAAATACGTAATACATGTTTATAGATTTTATGTGACTATGGTTACAGTAACCACAATATTAGTAACGGTGATCAATAGGTTATGATAACTACAATAGTAGTAATCAGTAGGTTACAGTAACCGACTTAGTAGTAGTCGTGAACAGTGGGTTACAGTAACTACAAAAATAGTAAACGTAATCAGTAGGTTACAGTATCTAGAATAGTAGTACATGTAATCAGTTGGTTAAAGTAGTAACGATAATCAGTAGGTTACGATAACTACAATGGTAGTAATTGTGATCAGTAGGTAACAGTAACCACTATAGTAGTAACCGTGATCAGTAGATTACAGTAACAACTATAATAGTAACGGTGATCAGTAGATTACAGTAACAACTATAGTAGTAACGGTGATCAGTAGGTTACGATAACTACAATAGTAGTAACCGTGATCAGTAGATTACAGTAACTATGTATAGCTAATTCTCTGTATGAGTAGCAGAAACGAAGGTATACAGTTCCATAATTTGGTGTACACAATTGGATTTAGTTGCGTTGAACGAAGGCCAATAGGCTTAGTGAATTAGCCAATCTGACGTCCGATTGAAACTATCCATACTTGAGTCTAATAAAA